TGATGCGCTGGAAGGAGCGAGAGAGAACCACCCGGCAACAGCGGAGGCCGATGTCTGCATTTCAGCCAACTCATCGCATACTTTACCAAGCAAAAACAAGCTCACATCAGAAGAAGTGAATCATCTGTGTTCAGTTATGCTTCGAGCCAAGGTAGTGTGATAGACCCAAACCCAATCGACTCTATACCGTTTTGCGCTTCTTGATTCTGTTGATTTACTGAGAGATTGTTGTCACGTAACGAATCATGTCGTATTACACAATCACCTTCACTGCTTTTGCTTTGTTTGCACTAGTGGTGTGATTGCGGTTGCTTAGTTATCAATACCGCCTCGTGCATTTGTATAATCATAATCGGTAGTCGATTTGAAAGCTACCGTAATCAACAACAATAATAGAAAACAAATTGCATGTTTACTACAAGTGCATCCACCCGCCATGGATTCGAGGCTGTTTGTGAAGCTGTCAAAGAGCACAACACCCTTCATCTGTGACGATTGTATCAGAGTAGCTAATGCAACGATTGCACGGAACATTCTTGTTTGTTTGTTTTAAATAATCACTGCGCAAACCTGCTTTACTTACCCGTTATTTTTTCTTTTGCAGCAATTTGATGAAGAGTCAGTACAACAACAAATTTTTGAAGGTCAACTTTCAAAGTACACAAACGTCGTGAAAGGGTGGCAGTACCGTTGGTTTGTCATCAATTCAGGTCGTGGAACGCTTGAGTATTTTATGGTGAGTTGCTTTACAGTGTTAACTGAGTCATTATACATTCTGACATTTTCTTCACCTTTTGTTAGCTCGAAGAGCGGAAAAAGGCAAGCCCACGAGGAGGTGTCTCTTTGGCCGGTTGTCAGATAATTCCAAGCGAAGAAGATAGTCAGACTTTCACTGTGATTGCTCTGTGCGGTGATGTGTACAAGTTGAAAGCATCTGACGCAAGAAATCGACAAATCTGGGTAAACAAACTGCGACTTGCCGCCCAAGAAGAGACCACTCGAGCGCAAAACACTTCCTTGATGCCTTCTCCGGGAATAATGAGTCAATCGTCCTTTTCGGCGAACTCCCCCTTAACCTCTGATCTGCTGCAGTCACTCGATTCAGTCCGTGATCAACTTATTGTGGTCAGTTTGTTTTCAAAGTTGGTTTATCTTTGTCGCTCATATGTTTACTCTCATTGTTTTTACTCTCTAACAGGCACAAAAGAATCAAATCGCACTAACAAACAAAATTGAAGAAATGACAAGCACAGATGAGGACCTTTTGGTGCTCAAGGCGACAACGCAGGCCTCGGTGAAGGCACTGGAGCAGTGTTTTTCTATTCTCGAGGCCATTCACCGGTAGTCATCTGGCGGTGAATGAGTCACATGAAAATTAGTCCCAACACTACCCAAGAGCACAGCAATTCGACTCGCCTGTACATAAAAAATTCTCTGCATGAAGCATTAATTTTATTTTATAATATTTATTTTTCTACAAATAAAGCAATTTGCCACAGCTGAAACAGTGCAGTGTGCTTCTAATGGCGGAAAAAGAGCAGCGGGGTCATGCCGATAAAGCAGCCTAGATGGTGATAAAGCAGAGAGATTGAGTTTGGATGATGTGGAAGTGAAGTGACCGAACCTGTGATGATGCCGATGATGCGAGCCGACTGAATCAGCAGACGAACGCGTCGCAGCTTGAACTGCTGCACTGACATAGAAGATGCGGCTTTGACATTTTTTGTAAAAAGGCGTTCCACATGATATGCTACGGCAATACTCGTCGAGTTGGCCATGGTGTTGCCTAGGGCGGCGGAGGCCATGGTGGAGATGCCGATGGCAGAGCCAATTGTGCTCTCGATGTAGTCCCCGGTGAGGATCATGATGCAGTTGTCCATGCAGCCGAAGGCCACGTACGGCAGTGAGTGGAAGGCAAAGAGACTGACCAGCTGCGAGCTGGTTGGGCCTTTTATGTACTTCTTTATCTTCTCAGAAATAGTCACCTGAGGAGCACCTGAACCAGTGAAGAGGGCGGCCAGCTAAGGGGAGGACAGAGGTGGTAGTGGAGTTCAGAATAGTGGCTATGGATAATAGGCGAAAGGCACCTCCCCACTACCCCACGACCACTACTTACCTTGCCCTTTGGTTTGCTGGAGGCACTGGCGAGGGCCATCTCCTCGTCGATGAGCACCTGACGGAGTCGCTCGTAGAGCAGTCGGCGCTCCTCGATGCTCAGCGAAGATAGCAGCTCCTTCACCTTCACATCGGAGGTCATGTCAGTCTTGTTGCTTTCGTACTTGCTGCTCCATCGAGACTGCAGCTTAACCAGCAACGGGCGTCTGCGGATGCCTTGTCGAAGTAGGAGGGCAAACATTGCCAAAGTGGTTTAATCGAAGTTCGCTTTTAGTGCAGGCAATTGTGGCGATTCATGCAAACTCATACCGGTTAAATAGCTTTGAAACAGTTCTAAATTTTTTCATAACGCAAAACAGTGGAATTATGAGTTTACTGTTGTTTTGTGAAGTGAAAGTAAGATACAGTAAATGAGTGAATTTAACGAAATGCAGTTCTAAAGATACAAAGTTGGGGCGAAGTATAAAATCTAAATGATGATCCATTCGCCATAATGTTAATGTAAACAAGTTGAAGAAACTAACTAAGGGTTTAAGCTCAGAAGTTGAACAGAGATGAAGATAATTAAGTAGTTAATGGAAATATATAAATTGTTAAAATGTGAATTCCAAAGCAGGCAATGGATTAAGCACTTTACTCGCTTTGATTTGAGCACCAAGGCTTGGTGTGACCTGTTTGATAGCATTTGAAACAGAGTAGTTTCTTTATGTTGGGGCACTGATCTCTGACGTGGTCTGTGCTTTTGCAGTACTTGCAAAATGTGGATGAAAAACTACGACGAAGGGGCACCGAAACTGAAGAAAGAAAATTTGGCTCCAAAGTTTTCTTCGGTTTAAAGTTGGGCATATTGTTCAAATTGACCTTCTTTGAGTGCTGTGCAACGATCTCCGCCTCAAGAAGAGAAATGAGGTTTGTAATGTTGATGCCGCCATCATGAGAACCGTAAACAGTAAGAAACTGCTCGCGCAAAACTAGCGATAGTTTATCAAAAGCCACTTTGAAGATGGCAAAGTGCAATCGAGAATCATTTTGGTAGCGGGTCAGCTCAGTTTTGGTGTAAGCCAACTGGCAAATCAGCTTCTTGATATCCTCAACATTGGCATCACTCTCTATAGCATTTAGTTGTGCAAATGATTGCTCCAAAGAGTATCGAAGTTTACATTTTTCCAAATCAAAACTCTTCTTTGGTTGGATATCATCTAAACTTGAAGCAGCTACCGGAACCAAAGACTCGCAAGATCCCATTTTATTATTTTCAGAAGTTGTATCGTCTTTTTCAGAAGAGATGAGATTTTTGGAATCACTTTTAGGACTGTCTTCTTCAGCATAAATAGACTCGCTTTTAACGCTGGCTGTAACTTTTTCATCATCTGAATTAGCAGGAGAGGTTTCATTTGAAGAGCTAGCCAACTTGGTGCAATAGCGAAACCACATTGAGATGACTTTGACTCTTTGATTTTCCGCTATGTCATTTGCTGATTCCGGATAATGGCTAATCATCTCTTCGAATTGGGAAATTTTCTTCTCGAGTATGGTGCAATAAAATTTAGAATCAGGCAACTTGAGCATGAGATCGATAATCTTTTCTAAGTTACTCAGACGATTCGACAGTTCGTGGATTTTAGCATCAGCCATAGTTGAAGATGAAACTTTCAGAGTCGAAGCGGGTAACATGGCAGAAGTCTCCGAATCTTCTGAAACTTGATGAAAGCTAGAAACAGGCATGGTTTGCTGTCAATAATACAAGAGACACAATGAGGGCTCGATTCTATTTGAAGATCACTGTGAAACCGTTAAGTTCTCGATGTTGAGCTGGCGGGTAAGACAAAAAAATGAGGATGAACGAAATCGAAATAACGATAATAAAGTTCACCAGTGGTCATTTGCAGCGCCACTATCGCTTTTTCGTTTCAGTTTCTATTTCTCTCTNGAAAAAATGAGGATGAACGAAATCGAAATAACGATAATAAAGTTCACCAGTGTTCATTTGCAGCGCCACTATCGCTTTTTCGTTTCAGTTTCTATTTCTCTCTGATTTGACCTTTCCCCAATGACTCAAGCGTATGTCATTCCCAGTCATCAGCGTGATAAGTTCTTATCAACTGAATTGGGCAGGAACACGTACTGAGCTGACTCAATTGTAAGCAGTGATAACATTTCCACTGCTTGATGGCATCATTAATTTTCAGAGCATAACCGATTTCGTTATCTTTTTTCTGTCGTCACCTTTGATAAAAGATGAAATAAATGATGCGTTAAATATTATTATTTTAAAATATTTAAATAGGATGTTGTATTTTTACATTTTATAAACTAAAAGTTGTTTGCAAATTCAAAAATATTTATTTTTTAAAATGTTTAAAATATATCTCTTAGCATTTGTTTTAGTTGTCTGTTTTGACAATATTCAAATGCAGTGCCTTGAAGAAGGAGAAAACTGCAAAGGTAAAAGTTATTGGGATCTTTAAAAATCATTTTGCACCAACTTTTCATTCATTTTTAGGCAGAGAGATAATGTGTTGTGAAGCAGATTGCGTTAAAGAAGATCCCACCGATGTTATGGGCTTATGGTACGTCTGCGACTATGCCGCCTTGCGAAAAAACCGTTTAAACGGTTCAGAAAAACCTGAGGCTATCAATCCAAACATGTAACTTGTACTTTTGTTAATAAATACATGCAAAAAAATAAAATAACTACCGATTTTTTAAAATTTTTTTAAACGAGTGCTATTTTGCTTTGAGTGGTACACTTGGGTAGCATCAGCCGTCTATTGTCAACTTTTTGCCTGCAGTTGCTTTTGTGTTTTCTCTTGACTCAAATTGTCAACTTGTTTGTATTCTTCATTCTTCAGAATATTCTAAATTCCAAAAATACTTTTCTCGGCATGGAAACTGAAGTCAAAACCGAAACAACGCCTGCTGTTGTGGAAGAGGACACACAGCCGGAGGTTGAGAAGCAGACCAACGGCGAGAAGAATGGCAACGAGAGTGGTCCGGCATCTGCGGAAACAAAAAAAGAGAGTAGCCGCGCCGGTAAAGAGACCCGAGAAGGTACTCGTAGTTCTCGACGAGAACGTGATCGCAACAACAGGACTCGACGTCGTTCTCGTTCTCCAGTTGGTCGTAAAAGCGAAGATCGCCCGAACAAAGCCTCGCGAAGTGTCTACGTTGCCAATTTTCCTTTTGATGTACGTGTTTGCAGAATTTGTCGACGTGGACTTTTTGTTTTCTAATTTTGTTTTGTTTGCTTACAGGTAAAGTGGACTGAACTAAAAGATTTGTTCAAGGAAAAAATTGGTGCAGATGCAGTTCGTTTTGTTCAGCTATTTGAAAACGAAGAAGGAAAGGTAAGTTTTAATCATCTGTTCTTCTGTTCTAACAAGCCTTTTTCTTCACACACTCACTAGCCAAGAGGATGCGGCCTAGTTGAGCTTTCTACTCCAGAAATGGCAAAAAAAGCAATTGAAGTTCTTAATCGCCATATGATTCGAGGCCGAGCTATTGTTGTCAAGGAAGATCTTGATGTAGAGCGTGATCGATATGGAAAGCTAATTCTCCGCTCCCGAAGAGACCGGGAAAGTGTTCGAGATCGCGAACGCGGCGATCGGAGAAGTCGTGATCGGGACAGGGATGAGCGAGACTATGGCAGCCGTTCATATCGAAGTGTTTCCAACTCAGGTTCGTCCTATAACACCTACGGCCTCAGTCCACAGTTTCTCGATTCGCTGGGAATCAAAGGTCCATTGAACAATCGGGTCTTCGTCGCCAATCTCGATTACAAGGTCAATGAAAGTAAGCTCGAGGACATATTTCGCCTTGCCGGAAAAGTCGTTCGCGTCAAGTTGACCAAGGGTCGCGATGGGAAGTCAAAAGGCTTTGGGGTTGTTGAGTTTGAGCACCCTGTGGAGGCAGTTCAGGCGATATCCATGTTCAACAATCAGAAGCTGTTTGATCGTCTTCTAAGCGTTCGCTTAGATAAGTTCGACGAGGAGGATGCTTTCAATGAGGATTACGGCCCCAAAAAGCTGCCTTCAGGACTTTGCAGCATTGGCCAGGGGTTGGGACTGGGAGGCAAACCTCTCGATATTTCGATGAGTATGATCAACAGTGGAATCGTCGGGGGAACCGGTGTTGCTCCGCCTGTCATGTCGGCCACTGCTCCAACCAACGTCGTTCCGCAAGCTGCTTCCGCTGCCATTTCTGCTTTGACCAACCTTGCTGGAAATCTGCAAAGCTTGCCCACTTTGGCTCATTCTCTTGCCCAGTTTTCAAACATGCCTGCTCACAGTGGTCCACACGGCAATTCTTCCATTCCTCCTGCTGGCTACTCAACCTCCGCCACTGAACACCACCCGCAAGCAGCGGTTCCACCTGTGTACGGTGGGCACTACCAGACTGTTCCCCAAGGAAGTAACATGGTGAGTTCGCAGCAGCCGCAGCACTACTCCACCAGCTCGATGGCACCCTCGGCTGGCTATGGACATCCTCAGGCGGCAAGCATCAGTCACTCGGCGGCTTACACTTCACCCGCGGCGCCTGCTTCTGCAGCCGCTCCTGCTGTCATTAGCTCGTACTCGACCTACGACCAGCGACCTGAATATCGCGATGAGCAGAAGTACCGCAGCAGCTCCACCAGTGACACTATTTACGTTCGCAACCTGCCGATGTCCTTCAACTGGCAGAATTTGCGCGATCGATTCAACGAAATCGGTGAGGTCCGTTTCGCTGAAATGAAAGGCCACGGAACTGCACTCGTTCGATTTGTTAGCGGTCGTGACGCTCAGCGGGCTTGTGACCTCATGAACGGAATTCGCATTGAGAACCGCCCCATTGATGTCGACTTGTACTACTGAAACTTGGCGTTCTCTTACTGGCTTCATTCACTCGAGGAGTAATCAATGTCATTTCCAGTCAATCTTTAGCAACCACTACGCTTGTCTGAACTGAACCCCTCCTCTCCCTGTTGGTCTCCTTTTCTTTGACCATTTTCATATTACATTTTTTGGATAACTTTTCCGATTTAGCTTACTTCACCGAGAACATGTAACGCATTTGCATTATCTCTTTAGCGGGCGTCAATAAAGTGCACTCTTTGCACCAGCTGGTACTTCAATTTGTCGGGTGGTGGTCGGTGTTTGCCTCGTTGTCGATGTTGGTTTCCTTGTACGGTTCGCTTCACTACAATGACGCTCTGATTTGTGTATTTTTGTTGGAGAACACTTCTTTATTTGACCATTTCTAAAGTGTATTTGTTTCCTAAAACTCGGCCACAGTTATGATCCCTTCTTGATGTTGTTGATCCACTCTACGAATTTGCCTACATTGGTAAATACTGCAGGTACTGTGCTGCTTGCACATATCTTATCACCATAGCTGGTGATACCTTGAATGACCCATTTACCAGTTTCTGTCTGGCACTGTAGTGGACCGCCTCCGTCGTTTTCACAGGGACCATTGCCCATCGTTCCAGCACAGACCTCTAAATCGTTCACTTCCATGCGGTATTTGCTGCACTCGCTGGCGCTCATCAGATCAAGACTTACTGCCTTCAACACATTGGCCAGCCGTTCATCTGAAGCAGGACAAAGTTGTATCATTAAGTCACTTGTGTTTTGAAAACATTAATTAATTAAACTATATACTAACTTGTGCCGATTTTGCCAAAACCTAATAATTGGCAGTTTGTCTTGCTGATCACCTCTCCTTCAGTGGGCAGGCAAAGGGGCGNGTATCATTAAGTCACTTGTGTTTTGAAAACATTAATTAATTAAACTATATACTAACTTGTGCCGATTTTGCCAAAACCTAATAATTGGCAGTTTGTCTTGCTGATCACCTCTCCTTCAGTGGGCAGGCAAAGGGGCGCAATGTAGCTAGTGCTGCTAAGATCTACTGAGTGTGAAAGCTGAACCATTCCGATGTCATATTTGGATGCTTTTGTATGCAGCTCGAAGTTGGTGTGTCGGTAAACCTGCGGAGTAGAGAAG